ATATCATCTTTACATATTTATATGCAGTTCTCCTGTTGTAAACACTTCCCCAAATGATAGAAAAGAAATAGACAAAGGACTCCAGTTTAAATTATATTGGTAAATTTCCTCATCCTGCAAGATGCTAACTGACAAAAAGCAATGTACGCAAAACTTGATGATGTAGATTGAACTCTAATGCGACTACCTTGTTAATGTAGTTAATTTTATTAGAAATTACAAGATTCAAATAAAAAGAAACCAAACTTCTCTAGGGATCAATACCTAATGCCTTGAAAGAGGCATGTGATAGCACTTCCAGCTATCTGAAAGCCTCAGATGTTCAAAAAAAGAAAAAAATAATAAAGTAACTGACAATAGCAAGAACAGGAGAGTAGTTAGTTCTGGCAGTCTCATACAATAGCATATAAAATCATTTACAAGGTACCTGCCTATTAAAGTTTTCTTTTTTTGCTTAAGATCTTTGTGAGGTATTGGAAACAAAGTGCAAAATGATTAACCCCTTATTTCCCCCAAATTTGCTACAACAGGGATACAACATAAATTAGATTGCAGGTAATCTCACCACAAAGCACACTGTTCAATCAAAAATATTCCAGTGAAAAAGCCATACTTAAAAAACAAAACCAAAAAAGACAAAAAACCCTTTTACATACTCTAAATTTGTTCAGTTTGCTCAGTTTGTTACTCATGCTTTGCTGCTGTCATTCTTTCAGTTGATGAAATAAAACAGTCTGTCTTTTTGTGTTAAATAAGACAGAAAACACAAATGCAGATTCAGAACAATTATTGTACAGTTGTTTTAGGTATTAAAATCTACTTAGGCCAACGCTGAATTACTCCGTAGAGCACAGCGAGTAAAGAACAAGAAACCTGGTTGGCTGCACTTCCATGAGCTAGAGTGCCCAGAGAATAGGATGGAGTCATACTGCCTAAAAACACAGCGACTACTGCAGCAGAGGAAATGTTTTAATATGCAGTTAACATAGACAAGTGTTATGCTTATTTTCAAATACACAAGATTATCTGTTACTATTTAGGGGAAATTTGGGTGCTAAATTTAAGCTGATAAAATACGGGTGCCTAAAAAAGTATAAAAGTATAAACATTTTCCCCTACACAATTACACTTTAGTAAATTCAATTCAGTTTTAACATCTTAAAAAAAGACAAACATTTTACGTGTTGTTGCGGAGGGGCCAGCAGCTTTCTGTGCAGACCACATCCAAGTGGCAAAATGCATTAATGCTTTCTAGCATTAGATGCATGGACAAAACATTTAGCCCGTTGCTTAACCTGCTCTGTAGAAATGGTTTTACAAATTATTTCTGCCCAACTTTTATCAATGTACAGTAAGTTTAAAAAAAAATAGGCAGACCCTAGGTGCTTGACGATCAAGTTTTTGTGTAAAGGATTACCTAGAGTATATGCATAAATTCTGAAGTTACTGAGAATGAAAGCTTTAATGTTTTTAGAATACTAAACAAACTTATAGCTTTTTGAAACTCTTTTCTGCCACTTTCAGCTATGTATGCCAATGAAGCTGAGTTTTATACTATCAATTTCATTGTGTTTCAAAGATGTGCTGAAGATTTTGCTTAAAACATAGTGTAATAAAAAGCTCCAGTCTTGAGTATTAGCCTTTATCAAGGACATAACCTAGTAAAGTTGTACCAGATGTTTTCAAACAGTGTTCTTTACCTGCATAGTTGAAACAGTATAGAAAGATAGACTGATTGTAAGTATCCTGAATATCCAAAGTAATTAAGATTTTTAATTGGATGATCTTGTGTTCACACTCAAGGTTGATCTTAATCCCAGTCATAGAGATAAGAATCTAGGGCTAGACAGTCATATTACTGTACAACCTCCAGCTCTCAAAAATCTCTACCAAAATCCAGAGAGATCAACACTTGCAGGCATTTTTAAAAGTATAAACAAACATTTGACTACAAACATTTCAAAAGAAACAAAATGTTCAGTTGTTCATTTCAAGTGAATTTCGATTCCCTTTCCAAACATCCGGCTAAGACTGGAGCATAACTTTTGCAGGAGGAGACTTTTGACAGAAGGAACATCAAGAATGACTCAGATGAAAGACATTTTCTGAGTTTAGTCTTCCCTTTGGGTATTAAAATATGCAATAAACCCAGTCAATATATACACCTTTCCTTCAGAGAAACCTTTTGTCTGTGGTGTAGCTTTTTATGTGCTAGTTTCAGTTGTTCTCCTAGGCTGTTCTTATATGAGAGAATATGTCACAGAGCCATAAGGAATGTGCAGTATAAGAGAGTCACCTGGGGCTGCCACAGATGCTGAAACAATGTAAGCCCAAAAATTTGCATTTGTGGGCTGTAATGTGTCTGTGTGTGTGTGTGTCTGTGTGTGTGTGTGTGTGTCTGTGTGTGTGTTTGTGTCTGTGTGTGTGTCTGTGTGTAGCACCAGTTACATTGTCCTTTAAATGTTTACAATGATTAGTAAGAAAAACTCTTCAAACTGATCGACATTGTGTCATCCAGCACCAGGCACAAGTGCTACATGTCTCAGAGGAAAATATGAGTGCATGGTCACTTCTTTTCAAATGACCAGTGTCAGTCAGCCCATAAAAAGAGTAAAACCATGCACTACAACCAAAACTTAACACACACTCTCACACCATCTATTCCCATTAAGAAATCGTGCAATGCTTCCAGCCAGTTTACACTAGCTTATAGGCAAAAATGGTTGAACCCAGATCAACAGAAAATTGTCTAAATCAGATTTTTTCTTTTGCAGCCAAGCCTCTTCAATGTGACAATTCACTGCATCATCGAATAAAAGAGAAAAAATCTTCAGCATTCAATACTGTCTTCACATCCTGGAACCTCTTTCTTGCAAAATCTGGAAGAGACCAATAAAAATTATATAAATGAAAATTCCCTCAAGGTCATTCCTAAAGCATGGAGGACAAAGAACAACATGATCATGATTTCAAATGACTGAGGTAGTGTCAGAGAGCTGGTTCAAGAACCTTCTTGAAGCCTATGCTGTAAAACTGAAAAAAGAAAAATTGATACATACAGTATCTCCTGTCAAACACCATTAAAACACATGTATCACTGCTAGGAATTGAGTCTTACATATCCAAACCTTTAGGGTTGGTAGATATAAAAGCTAAGCCATTTCACCTCACCCTAGTTCTGAGGAAACTTAGGTCACTGTATGGTAAATTAACTCAGTTACTTCATTAAAAGTTGGGATTTAATTTTCATTTACCCTGTTCCAGTAAAATGCCCTCAACTCTCTGAAGTTTCAGATGCAAATTGTGTCCCATAAAACAGTACTGAAAACAGAAATTAGCAATTCAAAATGTGCACAAATGGCACTTTGGATGAGATGACAGAGACACTTTTCAAAGGCTGATTATGAGTTTGCAAGAATCAAAACAACATTTGGAATAGATGCCCAAGCTTCATCTCTTGCATGAATTAAATTCAGCCAACTAGATTTCTTCACAGATTTTTTCTATACTGTTCAATATATAAGGCTTATCTGTTGAACTGACCAGCTATTTGAAAATAAGTACTACTTTGAAAACAGTTTTTAAATATTTTTACACTACTATTATTTTGTTCTGCAAGCTCTCACAAGTCTGCAAAGCATCCTTGTCCATATGAACATTTTGTCTGTCAAGACAGGACATACTACATTATATTTTTCCCATATTACCTTGTCCAACATTATCCTTTGTATTGCCCAAGACAGGCAGCTGAGAGGCAGCGGAGGCTGTGACTTCATGAGGAGGAATATGTTTCTCAAAAGTTCTGTCTAAAGAATTTCATCCTCCCATTGTTACCAAGGAAACGAGACTCCCATTACAGTAAAAGCATCTGTTAGAGGGTTTTTTGTTTTTTGAGGGGTTGCCAAAAGGATTTAGACTAAATAATCATTTTAAAAGGCATATTTTAAATAAAGGGACTAAAGTCTAATGGAAAGAAAGTGTCTGCCCTGAAAAAACTAGGAATCCTTGTCTACAGCATTTTGCAACATGAAAGGCGACCTATCCTACTTTCACGTGGACTATTCTTGCCTTTTCTATTTCAATTCACTTCAGTTCCTCCAGTGAGGGAAGTATCCAACTCTTAGGACTGACTGTTGACTAGCAACAATGTTTCTTGTCTTGCTACTCTAAATTGAATGGCAGTCAGCAATAACGAGGTTAACTCTAAGGCTGTTTAGTACTAAAGGGAAGCTTGTAAGCAAACTATAGAACAAATCATGACAGTAGCCCAAAAAAAAAAAAAAAAAAGACTAACTAAGCAAAGCTCCAAATGTAATGAGTACAAGCACTGAACAACATTCACCAGTAAGTGAAATTATCTCTAATGATATTTCATTTTCTTTTGTTTCTTGACTGTTTTCCTGATGTTACGAAAGAGCTCTTGATTTCAAAAGCTGAAAGAAAGCAAATGCATGATCCCCAGGAAAGGGCCATAGCTGTCTTGAATGTAGATTTTCCTTCTGTGGTGAATACCGTGTAGTTTCATATTAAGGCAAACACCTTACACTAATACTCAGTGGTACATTCCATCCCAAAGGAGCCACAGAGTCTGACAGTACACACAAACTCTTCAATCTTTGCGCCTGTAAGGTAAAAATTAGCAACTATGTAGCATAGCAGTTTCACATAGTTTTAAATGAAAAGGTCTAGGTTTTTGGTTTCTTTTTAACATCACTAAAATGTTGATAATTTAATCCTATCAGCCCTTATCAGTCATCAAGCCTAGTAAGTCTTTCACAGGGACTGCAGTCAAGTAGAGTCTCTCCCACTCTGCACAGCTCTATGGGATTTTTCAAGGACTGAAGTTCATGAAGACCCTGTCACCATTTGTATGCCTCAGAAACATTTGAGTACTAACTTCCCAAAAAATCCACTTTATCACTTGCACTTCCTGCAGTACCTGGATTTTACTTTGTAGCTAGAAAGTTCTTTTTCATTTCACAGTCAATACTATTATTATTCAGAAGGTGTAAGACCAGATGACATTGCAGCTGCTTTGATAAAGTTCCAAACACAGAAAGATGTTCCGATGGGCTGTGAAATGCTTTAAGGCATGTATTACACGCCAGCCTTGCTTATTTCATGAAGAGAATTTGCTGTGTGCACTCAATGACAAGCATTTTGTACAAAATTGTAGGAAAGACGCAAGTGAATTCTATGAGGAAAAGCCAGGCAGGGAAAACTTCTCAGCAACTGCTAGTACAAATACATTCAAAAGGGATTAGATAAACTTACAGAAGTGCCATAGATACCTATTTAATATAATGATCTGGATACAGGTTTGAAGCCAAAGTTCCTAAATTGCTGTTTGCTGGAAGTGGGAGAACTGTATCAGGAGTTAATCTGATAAATGCTTCACATTTGAACTCTTTCCTTGAATATTTGCAATTGGCCACAGCTAAGAACGATGCATTGGGGTAGATGTCCATATAGTGGATAACACTCTGACATAGCAAATATAGTCAGTAAGTGAAACAATCACCAAGAGAAGCAAAAACATGGCTGAAGCAAGTACCTGTGCGGTTAGAATATATTATTGGATCAAATCATTTTGCGAATCTTTCCCATTTAAAATGCAACATTTGAGTTTATTCTTTCCTGGAAGATAAAAAACACTTTGAAGATTATTAATAGAGTTAGAACTATTTTTTGTACTTCAGGAACGCACATAATAGGATAAATCTAAGCCAGATCTAGGTGTCCAACATAAGGCAGAAACCTCTACCAGATCTGTATATATTTTAACACAACGCTTGATACTTCTTCTACAACCTTTACCTTTATTAAAAAGGAAATGGCCCTTGATTAGCAAGCTCTTGTGATAGATGTTCCATCCATCTCTATTTAGAAACTGGGTGAAAGAAGATCTCTTACAGACACCACAGTGACTGTCCAAAGGTGGAAAGAGAAAACTGGATCTCAACCATCAGGAATTGTATCAAACTTGGGCTTACTTCCTAGATACTAAAAAGATGACTGTCTCTCTTTTGCAATTTAAAATTCTTCCTTTTTTCCTGTGAAAAATGTAAGACGACTATTCCTGAAAACACTGGAGGTTTATTGGACAAAAATGTAGAGAGAAGATGTCTCAACACTTTCAGATGTCACTAACATTTGAAAATAGTTATGGCAGGTCTTCTCCTAAACTGCCAATATCTAGGATTGAATAGTATGTTCTTCTGGATTGTTAGTTTGTTTTTAAATCTTTTCCTCAAAGCTCCGGACAGAACCAGGCACCAAAGAAGTTTTCATCTGAGAATGTGCTCTACTAGCTAAACAGAGGCCTTCACTGACAACGTTCCTCTATCCTTACATTTTAGATCTTGTGTCTTAAGAATTTTCTTTCTTTCCGTGTTTCTATTCTGCTTTCCTTCCAGGTGCAGCAGGCCCAAGGTTGGCTTAGAAATGCTCACATTGCTGAATAAACTCTCAGATCCTAAGGGCCTGAGTGTGAGTGGTTCTTAGAGAAGCAGAGCCTGAGAACTATTTCCTCTCACTCAGAATAAATTTGTTGCTGATCAAATAGCTTCTTAAGAGACTGTCCCTCTCTCAGGAAGCCTAGGAATCTTGCATTCAATTCCACTACAGGCTCCCCTCCCTTTTTTTCCCCCCTTTTTTTGAAGGTTCAGATTTGCACCCTTCCTTGCAACCATTCCTGAAGACTTGACAAAAGATCATACTTTACCCCAGACTAGTTTCTGTTAGTACCTGTCAAGACAATAATTTAGCTTTTTCTCCAACTGTGTTGAGAAAACACTTCAGAGATAAGTATAAGGCTGCATTTACAGAAAAAAAAAAAAACAACAGGTGTACAGATAAGAAGCTGGAGCTCAATCTCAATCTCATGCCTAACTTCTTGACTATGGTGGAAAAAGATCTGCTCCCTCTCCAGAGAACTGTTTCCTATGACATACATAACTATAAAGATCAAATCATTTGCTTATATTTGCAAGGCCTTGATTTGAAAACTAGAAGTTATTTTGACAGCAATAACTCAAAAATTATCACATAAGACTTTTGACTATGGTTGCACTTCAGTTAAGTTTGTTAATTTATTGTCATATCAGACATTCACTGAAAATTCATACTGCAGGTTTGTATCAGATGCCCCAAACATAAAAAAAATTTGACAGAAAAGGTGGTGCAAAAATAAAAATGATAAACAATTTTGATCCAAAGGCATTTTCCCCCTAGAAACTATATGAAGCACTTTTCTTCTCAGCATAGCTTTAAAAGACCTGATCACAATACAGCTGATAACAGCAACATGACTTAGTCTATCAAAGAAGCAACATCCAGAGCAGGTATTCTGTCATTGCTAACTGCTGCAACTATAACCACAAACAAATACACCACCAGGACTAGCCAACGGACAGCACTAGTAGGGTAGGGATTGGATGGGGCTGAAAAAAAGCATGTGGGTAAAATCCTAGGGCAGCTAGTGCTCACCATGACATTTACACTTAATCTGAGTCATTCATATCGTAATCCGTTTCTTCATCCTCGCTCTGAGTGGCATGCAGCAAGTATAGAGAAAGGAAGGGAAAAGAAAAGATAGCAAGTGAGTCAGAGCTACAACGAAGTACAGTCCACTTACGCTTGATGCAATTGAGGGGACGTTTTTAACCTGGACACCCACTCTTCATAAGAAAATAAGACAGCAGACAATTTCAAGCAGGAACATTATAAAATGCATCAAAATTTCTGTTCCCAAACGTCCTCAAGTCAGCAGACAGAAGCCAATAGTGCCAAATAACATAACAACAGGGACCATAGAGTCAATTTAAACAAAACTGTAAAGCTGGCTCCTTAACCATGTTTACTCTCCACAGATGTGGAAGGACAGCACTTGAGAACCTAAATTTGGATGCAGGCATTATGAATAGACTTTGGTCATTCCTCCCGAGAGTGGCAGGTCAATAAAGTAGTATGAAAGGAAAATGCTCTAGGGAACACAGGCTGCCCTTCTGTTGTGCCATGGCTACTAGTAGAAGCCACTGAAATGATTTAAGTCAGTGCCTCAAAGAGGTTAATTTCCTTCCCTTGGGTGTATTAGGAAGTTGCAAGAAAGCCAGCTACTAATAGAAAGGCAGGTGCTTAAATACGCTCTAAGCTTGATTCTAATGAATGCTGTAACAAATTGTTTTGGTTGTGTTTTTTTTTTTTTTTGATAAATTGTGACCAGATATTTTCATAAAAATGGAAATTGAAGAGTTGATTATTCTTATATTAGAATATGCAGAAACAGTATAAGATACATTTTGAATAAAACATAAATGCTAAAGAATGGATATGACATTAAAAAACATATTTTATACAAGACCTGTACCTAAAGCCCTTGCAAAAACAGATGTTTCACTTACTAATTAATCAGAAATTATTCAAGCTTAAAGCTAGAGTCAGGCTTATTCCTGTATGACAATCCAGTTAATTGCTTTTTAAGGATCTTCCAAATTGAAAATGGTCTTTCCTCATTTATTTCAAAAGGAGAAAGCTGTTCCAAAGCCAGCAACATCCTAAAATCACTCTGTGGAAAATATACACTGCAGGACTGAGCATTTTTATATTTATTTTCCACTAATATCTCAAAGCAGAGCACATTTTCTGCTATTTTATTGCTATACTTTCTATCAGCAAATCACTTATTATCCCCATATTGCCATGCTTTAAGTTCACCAATGTAGAGTTCAGTTAAGTAGCGTATAGGTTTGAGAGACAGTAAAGACTGCACAGATCTGTCCTGGTGGAAGACTGATTACTCTGGCATCCCACATTTCAAAGTTTTAATTGCTACTGTTTCCCTGTGCTAACCTACGTAGGCAAACTGTTTTCAAAAAAAGAAAACACAAGAGAAAATGTTTTTTTTTTGAGTTTTGAAAGTCTAGTACTATTAATTGAAATACTGGTATCTGGTGATATATACAGAATGGTACATTCTCATAATAGGAATGATTTCAGAAGCCATGGCAAAGTCTTCCTAACTATTACTTTTGCAGCAGATTGGGTTAGAGACACCAACAAACTGCTAGTACATAATTTTTACTGAGATACATTGCAATTTTCATCACGTGACTTTCATGAAGACCAATTCAGACGCTAGTAAATAGATTGCAGATTGGAAGATTAAAGTTGGCTAAGCAGGAATCTACTGAGACAGCTACTCTCAAGGATCAGTCAAGATCCCTGATCACAACTGTCAGGAACCTCTCAATCAAAAAGGTATTTTCT